CTTAGTGAGTTTATTGAGCTTCCTCATAACCATTGCTTTGACCTCACTATATGATAGTTGACTTACCTCTTATTTCACTTAGTACTCTTTCTGAGGATTCTCCCTTTTCTTTCAATTAGGGGTTGTTTCTTCATCTTTCCATTATTTATGAGACTTTTCTTGTTTGCTTCTGCTTCTTAAATTGTTCTGTTTTGATATCTTGAGTTTGTGAAGTAAATTTCTATGGTAGGAGGCCTATGAGATTTTATGATACAGTCTTCTTGATCACCTGAAGTAGATGCTTATGGGATGCCCTTTATGCCCTTTATGTTGGCTCTCTGGATATAATTGAGTTTTGATTGTTGTTGGGTCTTTCTTTGGTGGATTCTTCCCTTTGGCTGCTTGGCTGAGGGTCATTTTTCCCACCACTTCTTGTATGCTGTTGTGCAGGTGCTGCCAGAACAAAACCACAAAGCCCTGGCAACAGCCCCACACCTGGAAAAATAACTCCCCCCTGCAATCTCACTGTCACCAGCAAATCAACCAGTATTAGTAAGAGTGTAAAGAGATTAAGACTATTATAAGAAAAGAGAGTGGTTATAAGATGCCCTACTGAACAGTAGAGGGAGGAGCACTAATAAGTTTTGAGTTGGGATTTGGAGCAATTCAAAGAAAGTAAAATTTACATCATGAATAAGAAATAGAATACAGAAGGTGGAATGGAGTAAGAGAAGGGAAGTGTATAGTGTTAGGTTTAAACAGAATTAAAATAATAAAAAATAAAGCAAGAGAAAGAAAAACGGAAGGAGAAGTAGTAATTAATAAAAAATATGGAAGCCAAATTTGAAAGAAAGATCTACCACAGTATTATCAACAGCAAACAAACTAAAATTAATATAGGTGGTGTGGGAATAAGGGAGGGGAAAGAAAAGAAGAAAAGCTTAAGAGATGTCTAGAGGAATGGGAGGTGATTTTGAAATGATAGAGGTAGAGGAAGTACTAAGAGTGAGGACCAAAAACCAGGCTAAAACAGGGAAAAATTAAAATTTGGGATGTAAGGAAAAATAAGAAAAGAGGAGAATAAAGAAAAATGAAAGGGCAGGATGAAAGAGAAATGGAAAAAAGACAAAAAAAACAGTCTAAGATGTCAAAATTAAAAATTTGAGGTGATAAAAAGTAGGAAAGGGGACCAGTAAAATTTAATATTTGAAATACAGAATTTGTGAAGCTCTATAGATAAAATTTTAAAAATGCAACAACAACTACTCTACCCACAACCAACTAGCGCTTGAGTATATGTATACTGAGCACCTGTGCAAAGGACTGGGCACGTGGAGGGTGTAGTGTTCATTGGTGATATGTGAGGATGTTTTCAAGTTTTAGACTAACAGGCCAAGATTTTGATTAGTTGTATATGTGTGTGTGTGTGTGTGTGTGTGTGTGTGTGTGTGTGTGTGTGTGTATGATAAATGAGAATGGAAACTCAGCTACTCACATTTAATCATTCAAATCATTTCAAAACAGTATTTTAAAATTACTATTATCAATATAACACCGCTTTCTAATTACTTTAAAACAAATATTTTTGTAAAGTATAAATGCAAAGGATTTTCATACATGGTACATTGTACATGAAGTAGTTTATTGAGATGTCTAATGTAATCCTCAGGTTAAACTATAGAACTATGCTATAGCCATCCACTTTTTTCTGTGTATTTGTAGTCCTGATAATGGAAATTGAATGGGATATTATTCAGAATATTGAGTTATACATATGTAAAATATTTCAGTTGATTTTTTCCAAATGTCTAAGTAAAATGTATTAATTATGACTCGCCTTTAAGAACAAAGGTGTAGAAACTTAACATCTCATAACTTAGAAGTTACTTGTTTAAGGCATGTGTCTCAAAAGATCAAGTTCTACAACTGATCTGATTTACTTCTGGGTCTACTGTTTGTGTTCTTATAGAAATTATTGCAGCTCAGAGAGCTTGTTTCAGGTTGTGTTCTGTATTTATATGAAAGCGTGTAACTTCACTCATCTATCAGTAGAATGGTATTCGCACAAAGCTATTTTTCTTCCTACTAGTAAAGACTTTCACTAACTCACATCCATGCTGTCATGCTATCTCCCTCATAAGTGCTGATGTACACTTTGTAATTGGGACCCAGGATAGTTTATGACTCTCAAGCTGTTTTGATACAAAGAACATTAAAAGCATATGAAAAACAGCTAGAAAGATATGTACTGTTCTATTCAGGAGTAGAATAGAAAGTAATACGAAAGTTGCCCGGGCTGGCATAGCTCAGTGGTTTGAGCGTGGGCCTGTGAACCATATAATCACGGTTCGATTCCTAGTCAGGGCACATGCCTGGGTTGCAGGCCAGTTCCCAGCAGGGGACTCATGAGAGGCAACCACACATTGATGTTTCTCTCCTTCCCTTCCTCTCTAAGGATAAATAAAGTCTTTAAATTTAAAAAAAAAAAAGTAAAAAAAGAAAGTAATAGGAAAGTCTGATTAAATCGTTTCATACAATAATTTTTTTAATTTTTAAAAAGATTTTATTTATTTATCTTTAGAGAGGAAGGAAAGGAGAGAAAGAGAGAAATATCAATGTATGGTTGCCTCTCCTGAGTCCCCTGCTGGGAACTGGCCTGCAACCCAGGCATGTGCCCTGACTGGGAATCGAACCACGATCCTGTAGTTCGCAGGCCTGCGCTCAATCCACTGAGCTACACCGGCCAGGGCACAATAAATATTTTTTTAAAATATCGGCCCTGGCTGGTGTAGCTCAGTGGATTGGGCTTGGGCTTGTGAACCAAAGGATCACGGTTTGATTCCCAGTCAGGGCACATGCCTGGGTTGCAGGCCAGTTCCCAGCAGGGGATGCATGGGAGTCAACCATACATTGATATTTCTCTCTCTCTCTTTCATTTCCCCTCTAAAGATAAATAAATAAAATCTTAAAAATATATATCTTATGTAACATGAAATTCCACAGGTAGGGGTGGTGCCATATAGGCCTCCAGCTCTGCTGCTGGTTGCATGCTCTCCTTAAACCAAGGTCTAGTAGTCATAGGTTGACTGGGCTCAAGCAGCCTTTACACCTGAATATTGCCAGAGGGCCATCCTGGTCTCATTCAAGGATGGAAGGAGGAATACAAGAAAAAAGAGGAGAGTACATGTTCAGGCTTGTCAAACACCCTGAAATCAAAGAGGGTGACCTCATTCTGGAAGGGAACTGGGCCTGGGAGCAGCAGCTCAGGTTTTTTGCTTCTTTTTAAATTTTATCTCTTAGCTGACACGAAATAGTGAGTGACAGTGACCAAAAAAAATCAAAACTCATAGTTAAAGACCAACTGATTACTGACTGTGAGCAATTAAAATAGTATTTAATATTGGCAAGTACACAAGAAATCTTAACATTCAGATAAGAAAATACTTGAAAAAGATTTTATCAAGTTTTATAATAATTCTAAAATGTTACATGATATTTTCAATAAAAATTGTGAAGCATAAAGAATGTCTAACCTATCAAAATAAAAATGAACCACTGTTGCTAGAGGAATAACCAACTTTTCCTTTTTTTCTCCAATAAATGTATAAAATTAGAATGTGATGAGGTAATCAAAGAGTAGGTCACCAAAAGTAGTAGAGGTGAAAGGGGTTATGGAGTTTTTTATATGAGACTGGAAAATAAATATTACAAAATGGTCACAACTGTGCCTTTTGAGTGGTCAGAATGAGGGTGTAAGGTTGTTATATTTTTGTGGGATTCTGGGATTTTCCTGTTTCTTTTCAAAACTTTTTTCGGCAAGACGTTACTTTAAAAAGAGGAGGTATAAGAGCAGGAATCAGAGACAGACCAGGCTCTACAAAAACTCTTCTGCATCTACCCTGTGAGTGTAGTGGACGCCCTTTTTGCTGTGAGCCTGCGTTGGAGGTACAGAATGTGGATTGGATCACCAGTCCTTCCTATTACCTAGGTTTTGTACAAGGATGAAGATAAGAGGTGAAAGATATTTTAAACGATAAAATTATTAATAAGTATAGTATTATTTATTCCATTCCCACTTATAATTTTACAAGCTTTTTGGAAGTTATGTATCTTATATATAATTTTCCAAAATGATAGAACTAAAGCAAACTTACATTTTCTTCAATTCTACATAATAGTTATTTTTGCCCTAAATCACACAGCCATTCATTCTCCATTTTAATTATTTGAAATGCATCCTTATAAACAGATTCCATATCTATAGTACAGAGTACTTCAGTAATTTTGTGACACATTGAATAACAGCTATACCCAGAAGCTTTAATGATAATCCTATAATCCAGCAATTTTCAGCCATTTTCATCTCATGGCACACATAAACTAATTACTAAAATTCTATAGCACACCAAAAAACATATTTTTGCTAATCTGACAAAAATAGATATAATTTTAATTGACTTACCAAACAAAAGAATAATTATAGTAATTACCTCCTTTTGGTCCAGAGTGACTTTTTTAAAACTCAGGTGCCTAGCTCTGACTAGTGTGGCTCAGTTGGTTGCAGCGTCTTTTCATAAAACAAAAGGTTGCAAGTTCAATTCCCAGCCAGAATACACACCTGGTTGCAGGTTCAGTCCTTGGTTGGGGCACATGTGAGAGACAACCAGTCAATGTTTCTCTCACACACTGGTATTTCTGTTCCTCTTGCTTTCCCTCCCTTCCTCTCTCTCTAATACCAATAAGCACGCCCTCTAGTGTGGATGAAAAAAAATCAGGTACTTATACTTGTAAATAAGGATGTCTGATACCACACATTAACCAATTAGACCCAGCCTTATTATACAATGAGTCCAATAAGGTACAACTCTATTATATGACTTACACTGACAATCTAAGGGAAAAGAGGTCAGTGTCCCATACTAAATAGTCAGGTATTGAATGTTTTAAAAGTTCTTGCTGTACAAAGTTTGAAAATGACTGTTATGATCAGATGAATCTTCTACTTTTTGTCTTTTTTTCAGGTGAATGGTGATATTCCTCCTCGGTTAAAAAAAAGTGCTCATGAAATCATTCTGGACTTCATCAGATCAAGACCACCTTTAAATCCAGTATGTAATTTGATATATTCCTCTTGATTAGAGTTCACAGAATAAATTATTCTCCTGTGGGGTGTTATCTCTAGAACTTAGCTCTTAAAGTGGTTCATTTTTACACTAAGAGTTTATTCACAGAATGATGACTCCCAACTATACATTACATTTAAGTCACAGGAAAATATTTAACATTTGTTTAATATGAGACTATCTTAGGATATTTTAATTCAGTACAACCTGGGTTATGGTGGAAAATCTGGACAGATACTTCCTAGAATAATGGCTAAATATAATACCAAACTGTTCCTGGTATGGATTGCCTGCTCTTCCAGTTTACTTTATAGTGCTGATAAACTCCTTGATTAAATTGTCATTTCAATACTATTTTGCAATAAATGCACCCTACTGTCACCTATTTTTATATTAATTATCTTCTGTTAACAGAGTTGTTTCTAATGACCATGGAATCAGAATATTTTAATATAGATGAACACTGGTTTGTGGTTCCTTTGTTCCTCACTTCTTTTCCTCTTCACTCAATAGCCAGTGCTTACCAATGCCTCATAAACCTGTGTACATTCATTAATCTGGAAGGAAATGGTGTCTCTGCCCTAGTTTGTGTATATCTGAAGCATAATTAACAGTTTCGTTTATAAATCTTTTTAAAAGAAAGGACAGAGGCCATCTAGGAAATAATTCTAAGAATGCCGGTCATGGTAGAGAATAGAGAGCATGGAGTCAAGGGAACCTGGATTTACACACTAGCTAGAAAATTTAGCAGCCACGCATCTCTGAGAAAGTAAATCAGTCTGCTGGAGCCTTTCTTTATTCAGCTATAGAATGAAGATAATAATAATAATCTGAGAAGGTTGTGATGACTTAAAAACACTAGTTTCATAAACCACAATAATGTTAGATAAAGTATAGCTTGCATTTCAATTGATTGTCTGTCATGCTTGCATATAGGGGACATAATTTTAACTTCAGAAAATTGTCTCTTTAAAATTAGTTGAGCCCTGGCTGGTGTAGCTCAGTGGATTGAGCGCGGGCCTGCGAACTACATGATCGCGGTTCGATTCCCAGTCAGGGCACATGCCTAGGTTGCAGGCCAGTTCCCATCAGGGGACTCAGGAGAGGCAACCATACATTGATATTTCTCTCTTTCTCTCCTTCCCTTCCTCTCTAAAGATAAAGAAATAAAATTTAAAAAATTAGTTGAGTACATATGACTAAATAATTGTGAAATTCAGCAATCTCCTTATTGCTTTATGAATCTTGATAATGACCTAAAAATAGTCTTTTATCAACAGTGTTGTCATCAGGGAAAGCATTTTATTAAATCCAACACCTATTTATGATAAAAACTCTCAGTAAATTGGGAATAGAAGGATGATACCTCAACATAATAAAGGCCACATACAAAAAATCTACAGCCAACATCATATTCAATGGGCAGAAACTAAAAGTGTTTCCTCTAAGATCAGAACAAGACAGGGATGTCCTCTTTCACTACTCTTATGCAACACAGTACTGGAAGTTCTAGTCACACAACCAGACAAGAAGAAATAAAAGGCAACCAAATTGGAAAGGAGGAAGTAAAACTCTTATTATTCATAGGCAATGTGATATTGTACATAGAAAACCCTGTAGGCTCCACCAAAAAACTACTAGACCTAATAAATGAATTTGGCAAAGTAGCAGGATACAAAATCAATTTTCAGAAATTGATGGCATATTTATATACCAATAATGAACAATCAGATAGGGAGATTAAGAAAACAATCCCATTGACTATTGCAACAACCAAAAATGAGGTATCTAGGAACAAATTTAATCAAGGAGGTAAAAGACCTGTATTTGGAAAACTATACAACACTGAAGAAAGAAATTGGAGAAGATACAAATAAATGGAAGAATATGTTGTGTTCATGGATTAGAATAATTAATATCATTAGAATGTCCATACTGCAGAAAGCAGTCTACAGATTCAACACAATTCCTATTAAGGTACCAATGGCATATTTCACAGATCTAGAAAAAATGTCCCAAAAATTTGTATGGAACCAAAAAAAACCCTGAAGAGCCTCAGCAGTCCTGAGAAAGAAGAAGAACAAAGTTGGAGGGATTACAATACATGATACCAAACTATCCTATAAGGCCACTGTAATCAAAACTGTCTGGTACTGGCATAAGAGCAGACACATGGATCAATAGAACTGAACAGGGAGCCTGGAAATAAAACCATGCCTTCATAGTCAATTAATATTTGACAAATGAGGCAAGAGCATACAATGGTGTAAACATAGTCTCTTCAATAAATGATGTTGAGAGAATTATACTGGTACATGTAAAAAAATGGAACTAGACCACCGTCTTACACCATACACCAGAATAAACTCAAAATGGCTAAAAGACTTAAATGTAAGTTGTGACACTGTGAAAATCCTAGAGGAAAACATAGGCAGTAAAATTTCAGATATCTCGTGTATCAATATTTTTGCTGATATATCACATAGGGCAAGGGAAATAAAAAAGAATAAACAAATGGGACTACATCAAATTAAAAAGCTTCTGCATATCTAAAGAAATTAACCATCATCAAAATGAGAAGGGAACCAACTGTATGGGAGAATATATTTGCCAACGACACATTGGACAAGGGTTTAATCTGCAAAATTTATAAAGAATTTATACAACTCAACACCAGGAAGACAAATAATCCATTAAAAAATAGGCAAAAGAGCTGAATAAACACTTCTCCATGCAGAAGATACAGATGACCCATAGACATATGAAAAAAATGCCCCAAATCACCTGCCATCAGACAGATGCAAATTCAAACCACAATAAGTAAGGTGTCACCTCACACCTGCTAAAATGGCTATCATCAATAAATCAACAAACAGCCAGTGGTGGTGAGGCTGTGGAGAAAAAGGAACCCTAGTGCACTGTTGGTGGGAATGCAGACTGGTGCAGCCACTGTGGAAAACAGTATGGGATTTCCTCACAAAATTAAATACGGAATTGCCTTTTGACCGAGAGATTCTTCTTCTGGGAATATATCCAAAGAATCCCAAAATACCAATTCAAAAGAATATCTACACTGCTGCGTTCACAGCAGCATTATTTATAATAGCCAAGGAAACAGCCTAAGTGCCCCTCAGTAGATGAGTGGATAAAAAAAGCTATGGTACATTTACACAATGGCAACAGAACATTAAAAAAGAAGGAATTCTTACCTTTTTCAATAGCATGGATAGAACCAGAGAATATTATGCTAAGTGAAATAAGCCAGGCAATGAAAGACAAATATCATATAATCTCACTCATAACTGAGGAATCTAAGGAACAAAATAAACAAATAAGCAAAATAGGTTCAGAGGCACAGAAACAAGAAACAGTCTGACAGCTAGCTGTAGGAGGGGAGAAAGGAGGTTGGGGTTGGTGAAGGAGGGTGAAAGGATTAGACAAAAAACATATGCATCACCTGTGGACATGAACAATGGTGTGGGGATTGACTATGGGAAGAAGGGGCCTTGGGGGGAAGACAATGGGGAGAAAATTGAGACAACTGGTAATGGCATGAACAATAAAAAAATTTAATAAAAGGATGCTATAGAATATACAGTATTGTTATCATTACCTTTTGAAATAATAAGAAAAATAGTTACAATCAATAAAATATAATCTCATAATACTGTACTATATGGATGTACTTAACATTATTTAAAGGCAACTACTCAGAGTCTTCAACCATTATGTTTTTTTCAAGGCATCAGCCAGAAAACTAAAACCCACTCCACCACGGCCACGGAGCCTCCATGAAAGAATACTAGAAGAAATCAAATCAGAAAGAAAGCTGCGGCCTGTCTCACCAGAAGAAATTAGACATAGCAGATTAGGTGAGTCAACTACTTGCCAAACTCATGGTATAAAGTCACCCACTTGAAAAACTGTCTGTATACAACCATCTTAGTGAAAAATAATGCTACAATGTTACAAAGTCAAGATAGTTCATGGAGTTCTCATTCCTTGTTTGTTTCTTTCTTTCTCTCTCTCCCTCTCACACACACACTCTCTCTTACTTGAAATATATACTTGATATTCATAGAATACGAAATTCTTTCTCTTTATGATACTGAACTATATAAGAGATCATGGCATAGTACGAAGAGCTTCGCCAATCTCTAGATTGTGCTTTTAGGAAATGTCTTTATCTCTCTGAGTGTCTATTTCTTTGTCAGCCAAAGAAGGATAAAAATTCCTCTAAACTTTTATTATGGCTTTTATGTAAGAATTAATAAGATTGTGGTCAGAATACATTATAAATTATAACACATATACAAAGATAAGTCATGTTTTAAATAAAGATGACAGTTTTAATTCAAGTTGTTATTGTCATAATTATGGGTTCAAAGATAAGGTATAACGTAATGAAAGCATCAATTATTATCTAATGTCACTTATTCCCAAACTTCCTTTATATTTATTTTATTTAATGTTTTTAATGTATACTATAAAAACACATTGATTTTTATTTATAGATAGACTTTATCATAAAATATTTGTAAATATTTTTTATACAACTTTCCAATTTGTAAGATGCCAAAAGACTCAGAGAAACTCCCTTTAGGAAAATAGTTATAGTGGCACCTGAGTAGGAAAGGAATCAGTTCTGTGACACCACACTCTCCTAGTTTTCTCCTCTGATCTTTTTCTACTTTTTTGATACTTTTCTTGATCCTTCAAGTTTCTATCTTGGGTTTACTTCTTCCTTTCAACCATACACTTTTTTATGGTTTCTGTTTCTGGCTCTCTTCCAGTTTCAATCTACAGCACAAATTTCTCTTAAAGTTCAGACTCACACATCCATCTGTCTGCTAGATAGGGGCTCCTTAGATCCTACAAGGAAGACAGTCCCAACAAGTCCACAAGTGAACTCATCTGCTGTCTCCCCCAACCATTTCCTCCCTTTTTTCCATCTCAGTATGCCCAAGAGAAACCTCAGCATCATCTTTCACTTTTAACAGCCAAGCCTGGTTGGCTTTACTTCAGGATCTTTTTAGTCTTCCACTCGTTAGCCCCACAGCCACTATCTTAACCCAGGCTGTCATCTTCTCTTGTCCAATTTATTGCATCATTTCTTACTGCTCTCCCTGCATCCAGCTCTAAACTCTTCAATCTCTGTATTAATATTCTTTGACTCTCAGCACATCCGTTACATTGTAACCTTCTTGATGACAGGACCCATGTCTGTCTGGTTCATTATTGTGTCCCTAGTCCCTACTATAGGCACTAGGCTGTAAAAAGTACTCCCATAGGTGTTGAAATTTTTAAATGTACCTTGCAATTATAGTGCTACAAAGTAAAAAAAGTTATATCAGTTTATCCCTGTCTAATTGTTATGGCAGCAAGTGTTTTCTTTTAAAAATGATGTTTAAAGTATGCAAAGTAATAAATCTATATGAGCATTAATATAATAATGAATCAAAATATATAAACAAGAGTTCTTATCCTGGGAGTCCTTGAATGAGCCTAAGGAGAGACAGTCAATCCCCTGAAATGCATATTTTTAAATGTATACATATTTTACAAAATATATGTATGAGGTCTGTCCAGAAAAAGGACAACCATTGTTAATATAACAAAAACAACTTGCCTGATATTGATGTAACCTGGCAGCCAAGGAGAGTGGACTGGAATGCATATGCGTGAACAGTGACAGCTTCACTGTACTAGTCAGTGGGGGTGGATGATGCCATTGAGTGAGCATGTATACTGTGTATGTCAATCACATTCACAATGACTGAGTGGGTAGAGCAATGAGTCTGCATCAAATTTTGTGTTAAGCTTGAACATTCCTCCATGGAAACTATTTGTAAGATTCAGAAGGCCCCAGCTGTGGGCAGTTGGTGATTGACAGCTTCATCACAACCAAGCACCTGCTCATGCATCACATCTTACGCAGTTTGTAAAACATCACATCTCCCAAGTAACTCAGCCTCCATACAGCCCACATTTGGCACCCTGCAACTTCTAGCTTTTCCCAAAACTAAAATCACCTTTGAAAGGGAAATATTTTAGACTGTTGACAAGATTCAGGAAAATACGATGAGTCAGCTGATGTGTAAAGTTCCATGGTGCACACTTTGAAGAGGACTGAGGCATCATTGTCCTATGCACCATGTTTCTTGTTTCTTTTATCTTCTTCAGTAAATGTTTATTTTTCACAGTACATGGCTGGATACCTTCTGGACAGACCTTGTATATACATTTTTCTTGAGAGAAGAGAATTAGAACCACTATGAAAAAATAAGGAAGTAGTATTGTAGGATAGTTGTTTTAGACTACATTTTTTTCATTACCATACCTTGAGAAGGAATAATGGAGGTAATGGAAAAGATTTCAACAAAGCTATAAAGTAAAACAAATAGATTGCCATGAGAAAAGTAACCTTCATGATTTGCAGGAGTAAAGAGTAATTAGGCTTAGGCTTAGGGATGATAAACTTTAATGGAAGTAGTACCAATAGAATAGAGAAAGGAACAAGAAAAGCATAATGTGCTTGTATTACTTGGACGGTGTATGACATAGAGTTTCTTTGTTTTTCTAATAGTTTTTTTGTTCATTCATTTATATATATTTTTATATATTTTTTAATTTTATTGATTATGCCATTACAGTTGTTCTATTCCCCCCCTCTGTTCCCCTCCACCCTGCACACTCCTTCCCCTCCATTCCCCCCTTTAGTTCATGAACACGTGTCTCAAGTTCTTTAGATTCTATATTTTCCATACTATTCTTACCCTCCCCCTATCTATTTTCTATCTACTGTCTATGCTACTTACCTTCTCCCCCTTTCTTCTCCTCCCACTCCCCTATTGCTAACCCTCCTTGAGATCTTCATTTCTATGTTTCTGCTCCTGATCTAGCTGTCCTTTTAGTTTGCTTTTCTTTTAGGTGTGGTTGTTAATAACTGTGAGTTTGCTGTCCTTTCACTGTTCATGTTTTTTTTAACTTCTTTTTCTTAGAAAGTCCCTTTAACATTTCATATAATAAGGGCTTGGTGATGATGAACTCCTTGAATTTGATCTTATCTGAGAAGCACTTTATCTGTCCTTCCATTCTAAATAAAAACTTTGCTGGATAGAGCAATCTTGGTTGTAGGTCTTTGGATTTCATGACTTGGAATACTTCTTTCCAGCCCCTTCTTGCCTGGAAGGTCTCTTTGGAGAAATCTGCTGACAGTCTGATGGGAACTCCTTTGTAGGTGACTGTCTCCTTATCTCTTGCTGCTTCTAGGATACTCTCCTTCATTTTAATCTTGGGTAATGTACTTATGATGTGCTCTGGTGTGTGCTTCCTTGGATCCAACTTCTTTGGGATTGTCTGAGCTTTCTGGAAGTCTGTTTCAGGGAGTTCTCCTTCATTATGTTTTCAAATAACTTTTCCACTTGTTGCTCTTCCTCTTTACCTTCTGGCACTTCTATGGTTCAGATGTTGGAACATTTAAAATTTGTTCCAGAGGTTTCTAAGCCCCTCTCTCTCTCTTTTTTTTGACTTCTTGTTTCTTCATTCTGTTCTGGTTGAATGTTTATTTCTTCTTCCGCTCCATATTGTTGATTTGAGTCCTGGTTTCCTTCCCTTCACTATTGGTTCCCTGTATACTTTTAATTTCATTTTTCATAGCCTTCACTTTTTCTACTATTTTGTGACTATTCTCAGCCATTTCTGTGAGCATCTTTGATAACCAGTGCTTTGATCTCTGCATCTAATAGGTTGGCGGTCTCTTTATTGCTAGTTCTATTTTTAGAGCGTTCATCTGTTATTTCATTTGGGCCATATATTTTTGTCTTGGTGTGCCTATTACATAGTAAGTGGTGGAGCTTTAGATGTTCTCCAAGGCGGGGAAACCCATGTCACTGCATTGAGATGCTGTATATGGGAGAGGCGTCTAAGAGGGAACAATGCTCCTTCCCTGACTCTGGGCCGGACCATTGTCACTTCCCCTTATACCCACAAGTAAATTGGGCCCTTCTGGTGCTGATTCCCGGGTGGGTGGGCTTTTGTACATTGTAGGAGTCTCTCCAACAAACTCTCCTGTGAGGCTGGGAATTTCTGCCCCCTCTGCAAACACCACATATTTTTATAGCCAGAGGTTTGAAGCTTTATTTCCCAGCACCGGAACCCTGGGCTGCATGGTCTGTCTTGCTCACCAGTTGTTCCTCCTGTTTTGTCCACATGCAAATGTGGGACTACCCAGTCTGCCAGCTCTCACCTCACTTGTCTGGTCCTCCAGGTGTAGCCTTGCCACATGTAGCGTTGCCCTGGCTGCCCATTTCCACCCCAACTACCAGCCTGTATGAATGTTTCTTCTTTAATTCCTTGGTTGTTGGACTTCCGTATGGTTCAATTTTCTGGCAGTTCTGATTATTTTTTGTTTTTAAATTTGTTACTGTCCTTTTGGTTATGCAAGGAGGCACAATGTATCTACCTATTCCTCCATCTTTGACAATATGTAGTGTTTTATTTACATTATTGGGGAAATCTAGATTTGATAGTATTTGATTTTAGAAATGCAGGGGCCAAGATAGAGGCATAAGTGGAGACACTGTGCTTTCTCACACAACCAAGTTTAGAGACAACTGAATAATAGCAACAGAAAACACAGCCAGAACACAGAAAATTGAACTTTTCAGAAGTCTGATAACAACAAATTTTTCAGCCTGACCGATAAGAGGGGCGAAGCCAGCAGCTGGATGAGTGGGGATGCACAGGAAAACTCAGTTAGACGGACTCAGGCCCGCAGATCCGAGGCGTGGGGTTGCAAAGGGTGGACCCAGTGAGCGACCCAGCGAGGGCGCAGGGCAGCGGGTTGACTGTGGTGGTGCATTCCTGCGCA